AAAAAAACCAGGAGGGCGTGTTTTTCCATGCTAGCAGCAATGGATTATATATTAATTTTTTAGTCAACCTTCTTAYGGCATTTAGAAAGTAGTTACTTCAGTTGCTGTGATTGAAGTCAGAGCTCATTGACGATGGTGCTTGTGATGCATGCCCTTCTGAATTTTCACTGCAGACTTCCAGACTTTTTTTGCTATCATGGGAAGCTGCATCAGGTAGGCTGTTTTCTTGGTTTTTGGGTATGTATCTGATGCCATTTCCTTGTAGCCTCAGTTTTGATATAAACTTTCCTCTGGTAATTGCAATCCATTCAGTATATATTAAACTTTCATCTGCTTTTTCCTTGCTGTCCTCTGAAATGTAAGAACAGGCTCCAGATTCTAAYGAAGATTTTCTCACCCTCATGTTTTATTAAGGCTCCTGTGCTTTGGTGCTTGGAATGAGTTCATGTGAATAAAGGTGGATTTAAGTCTTCTTGCCTTAGAAGCACCTGAATATTTGCCATTTTCCCAGTGATTTTGTCTTACTTATCTTTTGCTTTGCCCTTTGGAAACATGACAAATTAAGGTAATAAAATTTGTGCTGTTGTTTCCCAGTATAGTACTGGTAAGCCATAAGATCCTATTTGTAAAGCATGTTTATAGTTACTGAATTGTAAAATTCTTTGTAAAATAGGTGGAAAATTGGGTTTTAGCTGCGAATTAGAACTAAGGGACTTTTGAMCTTTTAAAAGGAAACAAGAAAATGCCAGCTTTAAATGAGGAAGAGATCAAATGAAACTACCATAGCCTTAGGATTAAAAAAAACRCTGAAAACCTAAATGCAAAGCAAGACTACCATACTTAGCAATGTTCATTSTTTAAACCTCACTTAACTGATAAATTATTTTCCAAAATTTTGGTAAGTACACCCTGCCTTTAGCACACTTACCCTCATACGATCAYTTGAGTTTGCAACAGCATCTTTGCTCCAGGAGAGTGCTTGTACATATTTGGTGGAAGTGCTCCTGTTCACTGTGACATTCTGGGGGAATGGAACCTCTCTTGGCAGCTGCTGGTGGTGCTTTGCCTTCTTCTGACCAGTGCAAATACTTGCATCCCGTTCTTGCTCCCTTTTCTTGAAGAAACTGAACACCAGCCAAGCTGTGCCCTTTTAAGACTTTGTYACCAATGCTTTGAAGACATCAGGTCAAAAAGATGTAATGCCATAATTAACGATAATCTGATGTGGATTTGGTTGTTTGGATTGTGTCTTAATATTTGAAAAGAAACTTTTTAATTGATCTGCTGTGTCTAAGCAACAGTTTATTATATTGCTGAAATGAAACCAGAAAGAAGCCCTTGCATCTGAGTAATGCTGGTGGYATTGTAAAGGGATTTCCAGAGTCTGAAGTCATTGTACATACTTCRGAAGCTGATGAGACATTTTGTGACTGGGTGTGATTTATGCTAATATTTGCTTCAAGGTTAAATCTTCTAAATGCCTTTACTTACTAGAAGCCTTTACTTATTAAATCATACCAACATTTTTTTGCTAATTTAGAATGGTATCAGAGTTTAAGTCTTGTGTTGGAGATCTTCTTTCTTTTTTTTGGCAATTCTGGATGGAAATTATTAATCAAGAATTCTCTAGATTGAGGTGTGGTGAGGTTTGGGGGGGTTTTGTGTGTATTCTTTGGGTGTTTTTTTTTATTTTTTTTACCCCCAAACAAGTATCTCAATCATTCAAAAGATTCTGGTACACCTATGTAAATGTAGCATTGTAACAGTTACTCTACTGCTGTTTGAAAGTAATTTAATGGTTGAGTATGTCACTCTCATTTTCTATTTATTATGGAAGACTTCTTTGTGAAGTAAGGAAACATTTTTCTCCTGCTGTTTTCAGAACAGTTAAGTGGATAAATGTTACCAGGCTATGCTCTAAACTACTTGGGAGTTGAACTTTTGATGACGGATCCCTATCCAAAGGAACCAAATGTTTTCAAAGATCTCCAGAGCAGCGTGAGTTGGTACTTCTGAGGTGTTCTGCCTGTGATGTTTCACGCTTCAGGGAGATCCAGAAGCAGAGAGTTGTGACTTCTGAATATGTTTTCTGAGAAGAACATCTCCCGATGGTCTTTGCATGAGGTGCAGGCCATTTAAGAAATGCAATGTGTCACTTATAAACAACCTTCTGGTGCTTACAAAAACCAGCACAGGGCTTCTTTGTTCAAGGCAGAAGTACTTCAGGGTCTAGCAGGTTGACAGCCTCTATTTCAAATGTACTGAGTGCTGAGGGATCCTTCTAAAGAAGAAAATGGTCTGACAGATCACACTGCAATGATCAATGAATTACATTATATTATTTGAAGTGTGAACCCTTAGGAACAGGTTTCCTGAAAAAAAAAGTAAATTCTATCAATAATTAAAGAAAATACCATTTCTGTGTGTGTAAGGTTAAATCAGCTACAATTATTATTCTTGTAATATTAATGAAATGGATACTTGAGAAGMAGTTTTTCTTTGTTTCTCCCAATTGGTCTTTCAGTTGCTATTGGGAAGCGTAATTGCCGAATTTCCCAGGATTGCTATGTAAGCTGCTGATGTTGCAAGTGTCTACTTCATTGTCTTTTTTTTCCTCTTTCTTCCCCCTGTCCCCGCAAAAAATGCAGGAAGTAATTTTGGCACTGCAAAGGATCTTGCAGAAGAAATAAGATCACTAACATCTGAGAAGGAGGGACTGGAAGGACTTCTCAATGAACTGTTGGTTCTGAGTGCCAGAAATACACGAAAATTAGAGAGAATTAAAGATGATTACACCAGACTGAAACAAGAACTTGAACTAGGAGAGACTGCCTTTGGTAAGTAGTTTACCGATTGTTACAGCTTTTTTTCTCAGTCCTGATCTCCTGGAGGCATGCTGGGTTTGGTGAATTGTTCTGCATTTCACAAAACATTCCGATTGTTCTGAGGAAAGTTTGGCCAGGACCTAGGTAAGTTGCATGTTCAATATCCTCTCAGTTTCCCCTGGAGATGGAGGAGGCTGTGCGGGACAAGGGGTACCCCAGCAATATACCAGTTTTTGAAATCTATCTTAGSCCAGTTCTCAAAACCTTCATTTTCTAAGCCCATTTTTATCATAAACAGAGGAACATGGAGTCTTTTATGCAGGAGCAGTGAATATATCTGGCTGTGACAATAGGAACATGTTTAGTACTTGTATAACACATTTGGTGATGGGTCTGAAAGTACAAGGTAGAGGGGATGCCTGATTCTGAAAGCAAGAGTTCTCAAGGAAATTTGTGTTTGAGGGGGAGTTTAAACAGCTTGCCAAGTGCTGCTCTCACACAACTATGAGCAGTGTGCTTGGGTTACAGTGTCATGGTGGAATTGGGGAGCTTGTCTGCAGTTACTGGGAAAGCTACTGACAGATTATCAAATAGCAAGGTCATTGCTAGAACTGGCTTATTCTCTTGTCTGCTCTACTCACTCCTGAAGYTGAAGCAGATAAAATGGCCTTGCTKCTTGCTTAAATGAAAAGGCTGAGTAATATTTGATTGACTAAAAATGTACCATTACTGTAATTAGCTCTAAACAACTAAATGTAATTCTGAGAGCTACTTTAAAGCTCTAGGATTTTCAAATGTGTTTCCTTTTTGGATCTTACAAGCAGTAGGTTGGGTGAAGAGAGGAAGATATTTGTTCTAGAAGCATATGAAGTTTCTTCATAGGCTACTAGATAAGCAGAGCTATCTTAAAAAGATTTGTAGACAACTGGATACATCTGAGACAATGTTTTAAAAATGCGTAGAATAATACACGCACACACTTATAGAAAAGAACTTGCTTTTTAAGAATCTACATACATTTTTTACAATGATTCCTCAAATTTAATGCATTGTGATACAAGCCCAACGTGCACATCATGCAATGCAGCTTCTTTGCTTGGATTTTCAAGGAAGTTGAAAAGGCTTGTGACCYTCTTATCAGTCCATTTTGTTTCTCTTTTGTTTCTAGGACAATTAAAATTTCTATAATACACATGTACTTCTCATTTGTGTTTTAATTCAGCAGGGTTTTAAATAAARCCTGTACAAGACTCTTGCTGAAGCAACAGAAATGGTATCAGTTCACAGATASCATTTTTTCTCCTTTTGCATTTATATAGCTAATAAGGAGATACTTTTTGTGACCTGGCCTCTCCTATCCTACAATTTGTGACAATAAATTTCAAAATACTGGGTGTTTGCTATGTAGATTTTCTTTTAATTAACTGTGATTTTGTAGGCATAAGGAGAAATTTATCCTTGTGTTACAATGAAACTCCATTAAGCGGATACTAGACATAAGTATATAAATTGTAACCTAAGATCTTCCCTTTTTGTTGTCTGTGAGCCCTTTACATGTGATCTACCCTATTTTCTCCTTTAACAAATGGAAATATTTGATAACATGAGTTTGATACCACCACATTTAATTGAATTTAAGCCTTCAGGTAGACTCTGGAAAACAGTATGCACATGGTGTCTTGAGGAAAAGAGGCCACTTTTATCAAACAGTGTTATTTTGTACAGCACTTCCACGTTTAGAGAATAAGACATTGGAATACAATTTTGTTACCATTTGTTTTTGCTGTTGTTTAAAATAAATGGAGATAAATGTGTCAGCTTTGTCTGCACTGTGAAAGGTGTGATTTGGGTTGGGGTAGCTGAGCTGACTTAGTTCACAGCCTTAAGCCTGGTGTTTCATTTATGGCAATAAAAGCTGTGTTGTTGCAGAAAAAGGCAATTCTGCCTTTTTTTCCTGTGTTGCTGCCCCCACCTGTACACCAGGTCAGTGCAGACAGAAAACCTGATGTGAGCTGGGCATTAGGGATTGTCGGGATGTTCCTGTGATTCYTCCCCATGGCACACTTGTGATGTGCTTTGTCTCTGGTGTGAAATAGTGTCTGTCAATAAACTGCACATGGGCTACAGAAAGCAATGCAGAAGAAGAGGTTCCTTGGTCTTCATGTGGTGCTGGGACAAGAGAGAATGGCTTCAAACTGGGATTAGATCAGATGCTGGGGACAAACTCTTTACTGTGAGGAGGTGAGGCACTGGAACAGACTTCCCAGAGATGCTGCAGATTCCCCATCCCTGTAAGTGTTTCAAGGTGAGATGGGACAGGATTTTGAACMACCTAGTCTAGTGAAAGGTGTCCCTGCCCATGGCAGGGGGATTGGAACTAGATCATCTTTGAGGTTCCTTCCAACCCAAGCCATTCTATGATTTTCATCTTCAAAAGCTTATCTTAGTTTGACTAAGTCAATGGATTTATAAGTCCTTTGCAGAAAGGACATCCTTCATTTTTCTTTGGGAGAGGAGATCAACTACAGATGTTGTCTCACCAGTCTTGCTTATGAAAGGTTTCCAGGGCGTAATTTTCTGTTTTCCCTGCATCAGCAGYCCCGCTTTCTTTTTTTATATAGCACGTAATAATCTTCACAAGTATTCCTATACATGTCTATTTCTGTGTCATCTTGYACTTGAATTGTTTTGTGTCTCTGAGCTTCTTGAAAACTTACTTAGATTTTTTTTTTTTTTACTGAACATAATACTATTTTGTATGGAAAATATTAGACAAAATAATTAAATGCTAAAATATGTGTACATGTTTGTCTTTCTCTTGTGTATAAATTGGTCACCTATTTTTTACTTCATTAATAATTGTTGATTTTTCACAGTAATGCAGATATAAGGAAGCAGACGTCAAGGGAAGAGACTTAATCACACAATAATCAGAGCTGGAATTTTAAATAGGACACATCATTAGCATGTTAATGAATTTTCTCACTCTGTGCCAGCTGCCCAAGTATAAAAGATATTGCAGATGTAGTGCAAAAATCAGGCTTGGCTTACTGCACTGAGAGCTGTCAGTGCTCCCTATAAAGGAAATTTGACAAAAAAATCCTTTTGTATTTTTAGAGATGCTCAAAAATATGTTTTTCATGTTGGATAATAGAAGCATTGACAAGTAACACTATGTATTAGCATTTTAGGATGAATAGTACTAATTTGCCCTTTAGACATTGACTTCTGAGGCCGTCAAAATGCTGCTATAAAAGTGGTCAACTTTYATTGCCATTTTACAGATAGGAAAGCAAGTGACTTAGAGGTCATGTAATTTTACCTGAAATGGTGGTGAAACAGTTTCCTGGTTGATGGTCCAGCATCAATCTTTATTGAAGCAATCAATAAACATGTGAAATCAAGTGGTGCTGTGATTCTGTGTGAGCTGTATGTTCTTCTGGACCGCAGCCGAAGACATGATGGTTCTGGGAAAATTGCTGAAGGTCTTGTAYTTGATTGTTGAGCCAACCTGTCTAGTTCTGTTGGGGCAAGGAAGAGAMCTGCTTTACAGCCCAAAGGAAGCAAACTTGTATTCCAGACAAGGGAAGGTAATTACTTGTCTGTCTGCCAAAACTGTTGGATTGTGCTTATAAATCCCAGCTTGGGCTGACTGGCATTTGTAACCCAGGGCTGGAAGTGAAACCTGCCCTCCTGTTGTGGTTTTCTCATCACCAGTACTGCTGGTGACGTTTTYGTGCCTCACCTGCTGAATTCTTTTKCTGGCTGCTCTCAGCATTTTWCTGCCCCTATTACACTTTTGGGAAAGCATCTCCTGTGAGTAATGTATATACACACAAAACTAGGGGGGGACCATGCTGTCTGATTTAATTGCTAGGTTGTGCTTGCCAAGTCATGTTAAGTAGAATTTTTATATGGAATTAATTTCCAGAGGAAATATAAAATAAAAGCTTTCATGCACATGAAAACAGATTTTAACCCTTCTTTAAAAAACTGCACCCAAACTGCTGTATGAAGGCTGATATTTCAGTCTCTCTACTCAACCCTTTTTSACATCCTTTTTTATCGTGTTTTATTGTCTTAGGAATTGCTTGTGTAAGTCCAGTCCTAAAGTTYTTACCAGCCTTCTTGTACAATAAAGCTTTCTGGAACTGAAAAAATAAATTTATTAAACAATGAACTAGATGTAGCAGACGGGTTTCTTGGGAACCTGGCAATTCCTTTAACACTCAGTTTTACTTTCTTTTGTTCAATACACACACTCTGCAAGCTTGCACAGAATAACTCAAAGTGTTTTGTCCTTTCAACAGAAAAGAAACCTCACATGGGCAAAATCAGAGTCCACTTTTTAATCTGCTTTTTTTTTATTAAAAAACCCCAATATTTTGGCTTAAGAATACTACTCAAGAATAAAATGTGTTCAGAATGTACTTCAAAGGATAACAAAAATTCTGCTATTCTTTTTATAGTCATTTTTCCAAAAGCTGCATATTTGACTGTTACGGAGGATGAAATTATTTATTCTAAAACTTACTATGGTRTGGACAGCAGAAACCACATTAATGTTATACTTTCTATTGCATACTGAAATATTTATGAAAAGAAGGTTCTGTGCTTCATATATAACTGTATATGATGTGATTTATCAAACTGTTAATTACCATTTGCTACAAAAGATCTTTATTCTCTTTCAAAGACATTTTTATTCTGATAGGTGAAACACAGGAAGTCTTATAATGGAAACACATGCAGTGTGCTTCGCACTGGGAAGCCTACATTTTTTGTTTGTTCAAGTTTTTGTTTTTAATAATAGCTGTAATACAAAAGCTTCTCTATCTCTCTTTGTAACTTGTCTTTGTAACGCTTTTTAAAGATGTCTAAAGGTTATTCACAATTTGCATCACTTTTAATCATTGCAAAGAATRCCAACTAAGTATGACATAACCCTTGTGCTTATGACATAACCAAAAGGATTCCATGTTTTGCTTTACTGATTTTTCAGGTGGTTTTTT